ATTTATAATTGTTGTCAAAACTTATGGTCTAAAAATTACCCACGTAATTAAAAAATTTAATCACCTTTCCTAGAAAGCATTACACGGCAGTGATCTATAACTTCTAGGAAGGAGATTAAATAGTTTGATAGCCATGGCGTAGCAATTTTTTGCAATCGCGGTGCAACATGCAGGCACCCACAGCCGTAGATACAAGCAAGTTTTTTTTAATGTTTTTCATTCAACCATTTTGGATACGCTACTAGGATATGTAAACTTTGTACTGTCAAAGCACCGAGTTCGTAAAAATAATCCTAGTGCAGGTAGGATAGCGCAGAACTGAACACATAGCCGTGATGAGCAATAATTGTTGCGGTTATACCTATAGACTTCCCAATGTTTAAACTTTGCTATTTAATACGAGTTTTCCAAGACAAATTTTCGGTATATTAGTATGGTTTGATGTTGCTTGTCGGTAACTAGCTTACATCTTAGATGCAGCGCTGAGTGCGTCTCGACCGGCCGAGTACTTAACCTAATATTCCATAATTGCATTAGGTACCAACATAATTAACTGGCTCTCAGCTGGTCCGATAGTTTCCACATTGTGGCCTAAATGATAGACCAATATTAGCATATTTTTGAGTAATATCATTGATGATTTTGTTGCTATTTAATTGCGTTATATTTAGTGCTCTTCGTAGTTTTCTACGTTGTATAAAGTCAATATATTGTAAAACTAAAACATATATAACTGATTGTTGTTTTATATTAAAGGTGGCTTATGTAAACACTAACATCGCCAGACGGGTGAGTGAGTGCGTTTGAAAACTGTTTCAATTAAAAAAAAGTGCGTGCGTGTACTTATGTACGCGCGTAAGAAGATATACTTCTTTGGCATTATTAAAAATAGTTTTTGATTGCATGCAAATAATTAATTACAATTAAATAATCAAAGACTGGAAAAAGGAAGTCATTAAAGTCAATAAAGTTCAGTTTACATTTGAAAAATTAATTAAATAAATATTTATTATTATTCTCTTACATTAAACAAATAAAACACTATTTATCTTTAAAACATTTTTATTTCATTATACTATTTATTTTTAAGTGACTCTAATGTCTTCATCAGAATTTCGGTTTGTAATTTTAAATTAATCATTACTTGGTTGTGCATCTACGAGGCTTCTCCAAAACTACTTGCTTTCTGCAACAAATAAGAGAATATTAATTTAAGCTCTGTCCATGCAAAACTTAAAATTTTTTATAATTCATATTATAAATTTTTAACACATTTATATTAATATAATTATATAAATGTGTTAATAATATAATTTGTAGCAATGCTACAGACCTGGATAGCAACTTTCTTTTATTCTATTTAGAGATAGAGATAATTTAAATATAATACCGGTGTCTTCCTTGTAGGTTTCTTTGGAGTTGTTTGGGGATTCTTGTTGTTCAGTTGACATGATTTTCTTTAACCTTTCTTTAATCCTACAAAATAATGAAATTGTTAAGTTATGTTTACTGTTGGACACCTTTGTTTGGCTTTTTAGTATTCAAGTTATGTCAAAACTGATTTATTACCTTGTCATTGTTGGCTTTATTTGCTTTTGGATATCAATTTTTCCAAAATGATTTTATTTGTAATAACCTGAAATATATAAATAACATCTATTAATTTAAGTATCATGTGATTTGCATCAGGTATTAAGGTTATTATACCCACTGTCCATTATAAGTGGGAATGGGCTCACTTCTGGAGGACAGAGTTTCGGTACTACAAGTGCAACATGGATGTTTTGAGTATTACAATATCTCTAACTACCCTGTAGGGGAATAAAGTAATGTTGTAAGCATATGCCTATGTTGAAAGGTTGAACCTTGAACATCACCATACATCATATTTATAATTAACATTCCTACCTCAACACCATCACAATCAAATTCATTGAAATCTACTTCAAACCATTGTGTCGAGAAGGTGATGGTGGTTGTTCCACCTCCATTTTTGATGTTTCAGGGATAAGATGAAACTCTTTTTTGTATTCAATTTAGTGACTTCCACTGATTATAATTGTTTTTGTCTTTGTCCTTATATTTGTAGATTAAATTATTTTGAAAAAATTGGATTTTTTGAGATGCAGGTACTTATTAAAATGTTTACTTCTTGTTATATGTCCAGCCTTCATTTTCTCCTTATTAGTATTGTGTTAAATCTTTTTCTCAATTATTGATATAAGGGTCTAGAATATTTTAAAAAGTTGCTGTAACAAACGCAATAAACAAAAGCAATAATAATGGTTCATGTTTCAGTTTTAATCAACAATAATACTCGATAATACATACGATATTAACCTCAATTGTATTGAAGCACTCAGGAAGTTAGACATTTTTTCACAAATATTTTATATTATTTCACAAATATTTTGTATAATGAAAATAACTAGGTATATAATTATTAATTTTAAACAATAATTAAAACTCCTATATTTGTTTAAAAGGTAAATGTCATTGTCAGATTCAATTGTCATGTATAAAATTCTTGTTAGTTGTAATTTAGAATAGGAATTAGCTTCAGATATTCTATTTCTTTACTTGTATTTTTATCCATCTCGCTGAGCTATATAATGCCAATTTTGTTATAGTGCGGAATGTAAAATTTCACTCTCATCAATTTTTCATAAGTAAAGAATACAACTTCAAAAGTGCGTGCATACAAAGTACACAATGTCAAAAGTGAAACTTCTTTGTAAATTAATTATTGAGTAATTAAGCTGCCCAAATCCCATAATTTAGCTTTGCATGTCTTTCTATATTAATGAATGATACAAAGTTGTGACAGTTGTGACGCGACAGGAGCCCTACAGGTGTTGCCGGCCTTTAAAATAATGGTACGCCCCATGAAGGCCCCTTAGTTGTATCAGTTCGGAAATGTAAGTAAGTTTAACTTCAACTAGCAGCTGGTTTCACAGAGGTGGTGCGCGAAGAAAATGCTTTAAAAAGCGTTTTGATGTAATAACAGACCTTCTTCTTCCTATCCGGTGCACTCTTGACAGAGCGGTCGTGATCGCTATGAAGTAGTGGTAATAGAAGGGGCAGATGTGATGCGCTTCACGACGTTTCGCCATCGTTGCCTAGTCATCCTGCTGCACTGAGTGAGTCTCCTACGGCAGACTTGATTTGGTCAGTCCAACGCGTAGGTGACCTTCCGTGCAACGCGTAGGTCTAGTGTAAGTAATAACGGCCCATGGACACTATGTCAGAATTCTAGCAAGCTTTGCTGAAACAGAAATTGTTGGCTGGATGACAAGACTCGAAATGTCTCCAGAGAGATGGTGCGACGTTATTACGCTTGAGAAACTAAACCTATTTATTTATAATGTTTAGTAAATAATAAACGCTTATTTTGCTACCGCCTATGTGAGTAACTTGATGTACACAAGGGAGTTGGAATATGTTAAATCTCGCTCCGGCCACAGTGTATATGTTTGCCATCGACAATTATACTATATATTTTTTTAAACAATACTTAAATATTTGTATTGACATATTAGTTTAATTTGAATATTTCAGATTTTATATGAATGAATTCAAATTGGAATCACAAAATACATAGACAAATTACAGGAAACTGTAAATTTTTAAATGACCTCAAAAAAGCCAAAAGAGGAGGTTTTAATTCGACAGTATTTGCCCTTGTATATTAAAACATAGTGGTTCCGTCCGTGGAATCTTCTTAATGTCAAATAATCATTCAGAAAACTTTCCATGAGAAGACCAAACACCTTTAGAAATAAGAAATATTGTTCTTATAACTTTTTAAGACGTTTATATTTTTCAAGGAATTTATACAAACTTTTACTAAAAAGTATTGTAAAAAGAAAAAATGATTAAGTATTTAAGACTCATGATATGCAAAATAATACAATAATGCCTGTCATAATATTGTATTTGTTTATTGACAAATTGTTACAATTAATTCTGTGTAATATAAATGGTGTAATTTATTTTTTTAACAAAAAAACTGGGTAAACATGCAAATAAAACAAGAAAAATAGTAAAATAAAATTTATATAAAATATAATTAGTTATGTACAGTATTAATTAAAAATAGCTTATATAACTATTATTTACCTTAATATTCCGATACGGAATGTCACTTTACACAATATTATTATGTACATTAAGATAAAAGTAGAAAATATTACATATATTTTATGTAGGCATTAGATATTGTTAATAAATGCGATATTGATCTATATATTTGAGCATTTGTCGCGCTCCTAACAAGACTGCTATACAAACCACAGTAGTTTTCAAATGTAATTAAAATACTATCATTTTGTTTATAATATTCTGTAAAATAAATATATGTAATGGAAGTACATATGTGTTTATTTTAACGGATTACATTATTTAGTGCGTTTATTTAATTGAATTTAGGCTGTCCTATCAAGTTGACATATAAATATTTAATAATATACTTAGATTGAAATTAACGCCATCTATTGCCATAATGTTGGTATTTGCAATATTCCGCTAAGTAATGTAATATATCCTTTTATATTCGTTCGCTACATATACTACTTTTAACCTTACACTAGTGAAGAGACAACCCTTTGCCCAAAATTTTTTGTCAAGTATTCGCAAAACGATATACATTATCGTGACAGCTCTTCCATATAATTTGTATTTGGCATACCAAGAAGATTATACTACACGAATACGAACGAAGTAAATATCTCTGTTTATTCAAAGTATACAGAACGTAATGTACAAAAAGGCGCAATATTTCAATTTTTGATGTATTTTTTTTCTCGCTTCGTGTTTGTCTATAGTTGCTTATCACATTAAATCTTTTTTTATTAACTAACAATGTATTAGTGTGCCGAGCGTTAGCTTTTGAAAATAAATAAATTCTTTATCTTAATCTTTTTGGCGGCAAATAGAAATTAACATAATTAATTTTTGAAATCATTATAAAAACATCCAGGGCCCAATTGAGACACGGCATATTAATGCTCTGACCCGGGCTTATAAGCTGCATCCCAGATGTCAGAGAAGCAAACACTAGAATGAAACCTATAGAACATAATAAGGGGAAGAGAAATGTGCCCCAAAATACTCCACAACTCCTTCCCGAAAAACTTGTACCGCTCATCCAATGAATCGGGTGATTTATATGAAAATGTATAAATCATCCACATGGCGACATTACCGATTAATAGGAACATGAGAATTTCCCTGCCTGGCTTCGATCTTCTCAGTTTTCGCGTGTTACTGCAGCGTCGTAATCCGTCAACCAATAAGGCGGTTTGTAGGATCACTTGGATTACCTGTGTTAGAAATGTTGTATTTTGTCGGTGGTAGGAAATCACAGAGTAGCTGAGCTGAAAGCTGTGCGGAAAGAGAACGGGCGAGGCACATGTGCGAATTAATACAATTCTTATTTGATACGCGTCATTACATTTATCATTAGATAATTTATATTGAACTATAATGACGTAATAGTGCTGTCACCTTAAATACCACGCTGGTTCGTTTTCAGCAGAGAACTAACATTATAACATCAAGATTATATCCACAGCTATTAAAAGCCAGTTCAGATAAGGTATTTACAATACAAAGAAGTATTTGTCGGAAAGAAATTTTGGGGAATGGACTCTACCCGTTTAGATAACATCGCGGACCTTATTGTCCAAGTGGGTTTGTTATTTCATTTGTCGCACTATAAATTCAAGAAAATAGAGAGCAGATTCAAGAAGACTAAAAAAAAAGAAAAATACAAACCATCATCATGAAATCCACACTTCTTATAATATTGAGAATATTAACAGTCGCTATCATAGACAGGCTCGTCTCTATGAAAAATGCTGGTAAACAGACGAATAGAAGAATATCGTCCAGCAGGGAGATGGGATGTTCGTTTATGTGAAGTTTCCTCATTTGGTTAAATGCTATGACCACCGCTAGCAGCATGATGGTGTGCATACCAAGTTTAACACAGTTGTTAATTGTGTATCCGACCACCGCGTAGTCGCTAAAAAAGTTAATAAAGGCACTATATGAATGATAATAATTTCTTTAAAAGAAATTATAAATCAAATAGGTGATCAGGAGTGCCAGATATTTGGGTCTAGGATTTTTTAAAATATTTATATAGTATAGTTTTCCTCCGCTACTAGTAGGTTGTAAGGACCTGAGTGCATCTCAATAGCTTTGTGGTTATCATTGTGTTTGATTCCCGACAAAATAACACTCGGTATATACAGCCTTTTTGGGTGTATTTTGTTATTCAAAAATATCAATATTAATAAATAAAATCAAAATATCTTACGCTCCAAGGTTTCCCAAAACAAAACCCAGAATGAGGTTGCCCACAACGATAACTGTAAGAATAAGCCCCAAAAACAGTCCCTTGTTCGACGCGTGACAGTCCGCATATATTACAATGTTGCTTGTGTAGTCATTATCTTCGTGCGCTGTTGGTATTCTTAAAAATAAAAGGTAATGAGATTTTTTAAATCGATGGATAATGATGAGCTTACAATTTTTCCTCACACACTAATCTTATCAAAAAAAATTATTTAATATACATTCTTCTAGAAGTCAGATCTGTGAAGGAAATCACCTCAATGATCAGTATGTCAATTCTTTATCATTAAATCTTCTTCTTAGGAAGGCACACTTACAGATATTGGATATTAAAACAGAGACAAAGGTATAGCCATCAACAAACTATACGAAACATGCATTCTTCCAGATCTAAAATATTACTACAAAAAACGAGGTGTGTCAAATGCAATGAAGATAGTTTCCTTAACATAAAGAATAAAGATAGGTAGGCTTATATTAGATGCTTTGCCTCGTTGCAGACAAGGCTTAGTCAAGATTAGGGAGAGAAAGGGCAGAATCTGGAGGTTTTCGTCAGGATCGGAACTATTCCAATCAGTGGTTTCCGCCAGTAATAATAAATAATTGTGAAACTGTCAAACGCGATTTAAAGTAAAGAATAACAAAACATAGATTAGATTTGGGTAGATTAGAAGTAAGGAAGGGGATGACAGGTCTGGGCGTTACTGCATACGATTTTTTGCGTTTTCAGAGAAGATTTACTATGGTAATGTATATATATTTTTTTTAACCATAGGAAAGTAGAGATTTCAACGAACTGAAAGCACACCAACTTTTTGAAAAAAGCTGAAATTTTGACGTCAGAATTTTCGATTGAAAATTAGGGTGGTTTTTTCGATATTAATTCAAAATAAGGTGAACAAATAAATATTTTTAATCAAATAAATTACAGTGTATTTGGGACATAGAAAGGTAAGTTTTCACCAAATTTCGTTAAAAAAAAAATATTTTTGTTAAAGATAAAAATAAAAAACCAAAAACTTGGTTTTTTTGAATTTTTCACATAAATTTTGAGGTTATGTGAAAAATGTGTGAATACAAAAGTTTTAGATCTTTTTATTACCTCCAACTTTGCCATTTAACTTTCTTCGATAGGACTTGTAGTTTTTCCGGAAATCGAGATAAACCGTTTTTTACCCTTAAAACTCCCCCCTTCCCCTTCCCGACCTCAGATCGACCGTAATTTATTTTTCCTTTCATTTTGATCATATTCCCCTGCTTTTCTAATGGGTTTCAGCCTACTGTAATTTTTTTCACTTTTTATTTATTTTAAAGGCTATCTGCACTGGTCTATATAGGTAAACACATTGTACACTTATGACTTGTCAGTAAACAAATACATATTAATGCTTCTAATTTTACATTTAGTGCCAGTTCTCAAATCTAGGGCGTAGAACGGAAGAGAAGAACTGGCAATAAACTCTCCGCCTGTTTTTAATCGCCATGTTTTTTTTTACACAACGTTTGTAAGGAGCTGCAACCATTAAACCGTGTTTCACATGACATCTTAAGTAATTAATAATAATAACATAAATTAAAAACAAAGAATTGTCCTCTATCAGAAGGAGGCATGGTGAAATAGGAGCACGCACTTACATTCTCGTGGGAACAACACGCAAATACATAGTCGAAATAATTGACATCACCGCATACACGAATTCAAGTACGACCAGTCACCACAAGTAGCACCCGTTCACGAGTATGACGCATGGCCAGCCATCGGCCTGACATAGTTTGACAGAACGAGACAAAAGAGTTTAATGCAATTGTATAATTAAGGGTGACTTAACTTCGTACAACTATAAGTTACATACTTGCAAACAGTTTGAGTATCATCGCAACTGGAACTTCCTTCAGATGCGTCGATGTTTTCACAATTCCCAATATTGCTCCATATTATATAATAAACGGCAACTAAAATAAATATTTTATTTTATTAAAAGGTTATAAGGTTTTAGTAGGTACATTGCAAGATATGGAACATTTTGCTATGTTACCCTATAGAGACTGTTCCCTAATCCGAAATAAAAACATGAGTACTTATGATTTATAATTTCTGTCTAAAATAACTTTATATCAAAACCTTTTTGTCAAAAAATACTTGAATTAGTCCAGCCATCTTTGAGTTTTGAGCTTAGTAACATACTTTGCAATTCATTTTTATTTATCTAGATTAAAGTTAAAAAAACTGCCGTACCATATAAAATAAACACATAGGCGTGTGTGTGTGTGTGTGTCTGGTCATTTAGCTTTAGATGCGCCTATGCCACCCTTATTGAGCTTCGAGGGTCGCAATTTTTATTTTATATTAAATTGTCAACTTTACAACGCAGCTTTATCGGCGCTTACGCATGATTTTTTCGAAATTTAGTTTGTGGTTTTATTAAAGTGACCTTTACACTGATCACCGAAACATACTTACCAATTAAAATATTGAATTCAACTCCAAATGGATATAAATATGGTGATACGTTGGAGATAATAGTGGTCATAAGTGGAGAGCCGGTGCAGTTTTCTTTGTACAGACCGCTTATGTCAAGGTGGATAATAACATCTGAAAACAATTCCGGTTTCTTTTGTGATATGATGCCACTACTGGATATGAATTCCACATATAGAATTGTTAAGGCAATAAAAAAGTTGTAAAAAGAAAATATTAAAACTTAATAAGGAGCCCATACTTTGTAACTTCTAATAGTGATATTATTATCAGCTATTCTGACATAAACAACGATTTTTTTGGTTGCGACATCAGCGCTTCGGTTATTTATTCGGTTAATATACATTCAGATAACATAGATTAAGGAGGCAACGGGCGGCCTTACCGCCGACAAGCGATCTTTTTCACTAGTAAGAAGAAAAAAAAATACTAAGGGTAACGTGCAAAAATTTATAAAAAATTACAGATAATGTAGACGTAATTACAAAACCAAAATAAATACTAAAATCTAATATGAAGAGTCATTAATCACAATGCTAGGTTCTAGATACATAAAAAAACACGAATAAAACAGATGGAAATGATATTGGCTAAGTGGTGTTAATATAGAAGATATTGACACAGATATTGGAACTCGTCTGCTCCACAGCATTATGCTGAGCCAGGGCCAGTTACAACCACAACGCACCACAATATATGTCAAGTTACTGCTAAGCAGAGATGGTGCGATTTGCATAACATGGTGGCGCAGTTCATAAAATATTTTGAAATATCTAGCTACCATCTACTATCAGAAACCCCCCATTTTTAATAGCGATATTGGTACTGTAATAATTTTTAAAAAGCGTAACGTTTACGAGGTCAGTCAGTTAATTTATTATTAAGACTAAAATAGGCAAAAAAAGGGAATTACAGAGAGGCACTGATTGACGCGTTGTTGCCTAAACCGTCAAGTTTTACAAACAAAATTGGATTATATTTAAGTATTTAAAATATAATTAAAAAACTCTACCTTCAGTGTTGTCTATTGTGTTATTTCCATACTTTTGACTAGCATAAATCGTCAAAGCTAATACGGTTTCACGTACAATGTTAAATATCCAGAAACATAAACTACTTCCAATCATGTGCATGAACCCGAAATATGCCAGTTTCTGGAAAAAGATTCAGTTATAATAAACATTTTATAACATAAATACATATCTATGTGATACGTAACACATACTAACAATTTTATTATTAGAATACTATGTACGAAATTAACGCTTGCTAAGGTATTATATATTTGAGAAAACCGCTATATTTGATATGTACCGCATTCTCTTTGTCTTTGCTATCTAGCCTAAAGCGCGGGAAACGCTATTCAAATTTGACATGTCAAGTCAAACTGTCACTGTGTGCATTGTCAGTTTAAGGTCCATAGAATATACAAATTATCCGATTCTAGCCTCGAACGATACTTTTACGATATTATCTATATTGTATTGCTTACCTGTCCTCTCAATACAAGAACATTGCAGTACTTAAAGATGAAATACAGCTGTATAAAACAGTACAATGGCTGCACGACGTCAAACACAACTTGGAGTATGTTGACGCATTCATCGTTCGATATTGTTTCGTCTAGTAGATATCCTACTTGTACTGAAATTAGCAGTACGGAATGCACTAGATGACCTAATGCAAAACCTGGAAGAGAGAATTTTGTTACTAAGGCCTGGCTCATGATTATTTAGATATTACAGAAGCATTGTGAATGCTATTTGTACCGAACGTTTGGGAGTAGGAAATCAAAAATTAACTTTGCCTAATAATGTACTTTTTTTGTTAATAGGTTTTTGTCTACTACGTGATTGCATGTTGTTCTTATAGTGTAATGCTTCGAGGTGTCACGAAGAGCATGGTGTAATGGCATGACTTGGAATTGTCTATCCCTACAATAATTTTGATAAGCAAAAAACTTGGCGTTTAAAAATAGTGACGGAGATTTTTCCAGTTTGTGACCGGTCTACGCCCTTGATTCTTTTGGCAGTAGTAGAATTTTTTTTAGACGTTAATAAGTGTATGTGTTGTGAATATTTGATGCACCCGCATCATTGCATGCACCCGCAAACTAAAACCCTCTAATATTTAAAGCACCCCGATGACCCAGGAACCGTACATGCGTCAACAACTAAACCTAAACTTTATACGAGTGTACATTCCTAATTCAAATACATAAACAAAATCTATTTTACGAGTAAAATATAGTCAACTAACCTGCAGCTCCCAGCTTCAAATAGAAGCTTCCAGAATGTCTTCCATGGCTGAAGCAATAATCGTGTGTCAATGGTATGAGTACTGGAGAAGGTATGGCGCTATTCCGACTCAACTCCGGAGTCCTATCACCGTCGTTGGCAAAATCTTCCTGGTAAAAAGAGAAACTCAGTTTATTTAGTTAGAAATTGTAGATGTGATATTTTTTTAGTAGACTTATATATCTTTATATATGTGTCAGACATTATGTAATAAGAGACGATGTCATTTGTTTTACTAGAATGGCAACACTATGCAATATCACTTTATGACTTTATGACTTTATTTAGCAGTAACAATTTAGTTTTTTCTTTGAAATATTAAGTATTAATTGTCGTTTGTTTAATGTTTCATGTGAGTTTTCTTTTCTTTATTTCTTTTTGTATATTTATAGTTTATGTTTTCTGTTTCATATAATATATTGTTTATCTACATAATCCGTTTTGGCTTTGTATATTCTCTAATGTTTCGTTGTATGTAATTTATGTTAGCTGTATGCATACAAATTAAATAAATTAAAGATAAACAATCTTGTATTAACAAACCTCCTGTTTCCTGAAAAACTCTGCAAACTTGTCCAAATGCATTCCTTTAATCTTCTGATTTTTCATTGTAACCGCTTTATATCTTCCAATATCCAGTAATAAATATGATTGGAATATAAATCCAATAGCTAATAGACAGATGGAGTAAATCTGAAACACATGTTGTGTTTTTGAATATATACTTCTTTAGGCGCGTTTTGAAAAATTGATGAGAGTGGAATTTTACGATGCGCGCGCACCGTGACACAAAATTAACAGAATGAAGTTGCCCACGGAAGATGCTACAGCATTGGACATAATTTAAAAACAACATTCGAATAATAATATAATTTATGTTACACTTAATGTAAGAGAATAATAATAAATATTTATTTATTTAATTTTTCAAATGTAAACTGATCTTTATTGACTATAATGACTCCTTTTCCAGTCTTTGATTGTTTAATTATAATAAATTATTTGCATGCAATCAAAAACTATTTTTAATAATGCCAAAGAACTATAGTATAACTTCTTACGCGCGTACATAAGTACACGCACTCTATTTTTTTAACTATATAAGGAAGTAGAAATATATACTGTGGTATAGGCTATACCAGGACTATTCAGGCACCAAAGTTCAAGGTGTTTTTGTGTCTTCTGTACTTTTCGTTTATTTATAATACATATGCACGATTTCTTTAAAACATTTAAAGTTTCGATGTGTATACACGAAATATAATGGCTATTCGAATTTAATATGATATATTAGCCCATGGCGAAGGTGCGTTTTAGCCATATCTTTGCGACCGTTCAACTGCAGTCTATTTACAAAAAACTCGTAACGATAGAATTAGAAACTCTTTCAGAATAAATAAAAATTTACAAGTAAAATTTCAAGTATCACTTACGAATGATGGCGAATATAATTCCACAAAAGGCTCTGATGGATAAATTAGTAAACCGAGCGTCACTAATAATATTGCATACATAGAACTTAGTATAAGCGCTAGATATTTTCTGCAAGAAAACATTAAAAATTAAAAAACTAATTGTATAAGATTAATCGAAACATTTCAGTTCAATCATTAAACTAATCATAATTATATCTAGTGCTACAACCCTTTTAGGTCTGGATAGATTTCTGTATTTGTTTCATGGTCATAAGCAAGTGATGTGCCTGGCAGACGCTGTCGTCTATTTGGGTCTAAGGCAAGTCGGTTTCCTCACAATGTTTTCCTTCGTTCGAGGAAATGTTAAATGCGCACATAGACAGAAAGTCCATTGGTGCACAGCCGGGGATCGAACCTACGACCTCAGGGATGAGAGTCGCACGCTGAGGCCAATAGACCAACACTGCTATTGCTGCAATTAGCCTGATATATATGGTAGATGTGTAGGACGTGTCGAATCTGGCGGATTTAAAATGAATATTTACGTTGAAAGCCTGGCATTTTCTTCGGGGCTGGTGGGTGGCGGCGCCTGCGTTTCCATGGACCGTATAGATTGGGCATCCATGGTGACAACTGAACGTTTCCGAGGCGTATTTCCACCTCTCTCTACTTGGAGACGATAATTACCTGAAACATTTATATTATAAGTCACAGAAATTACACTAGCCAAATTGGATTTCGAATCTACAAAGGCATACATATCTTGGTATGACTTTGAGATTTCAAAAACTAACACAGACACAGTGCACGTTCATAACAACTTTCAGCTACACTCTCAAATACATGCGCATACACACACTCACTCATTCACTTAATTTGTAACTCTAAATTTTTATTTTGTATTATTATTATCTTTTTTTTTAACTGTTTTAAACATGTACGACGTAATAATTGTTTTCTAGTTACCCACAATACAGGGCCTCCCTAGTGTGGGGACTAGCGATATATGAATTCTGTCACATCCCTTTTGTCATAAATAAAGTTTTTATTATTATTATTATTAGGTCCTTACATATGAAATTGGCGTATTTCGTACTGGCCACTTTAACCACGATGTTCTCCTCCTTGGTAAGGAATTCCAAATTCAAATTTGTACAGCTATTTACTCACTGTATTTGTGCTTTGATGACCGTCATTCATTTGTTTTTTTCTGTTTGCGTCACTCATTTTACAAAATGGAAAACTTAAAGTATCGCATTATTTTCGAGTACGAGTTCCGCCGTGGCACTAGTGCTGCGGAAATGACTCGAAGGGTGAATGATGTGTATGGCGGTCATGTTGCAAAAGAAAACACAGTTCGTTTTTGGTTCCAACGTTTTCGTTCTGGAAATTTCGACCTGCAGAACAAGCCCCGTGGACGGTCTGAGATCCAAGTTGATAATGAAGTATTGAAGGCTATTGTGGAAGCGGATCCATCGCAAACCACGTCCGAGTTAGCTGCAGGCTGCGGTGTTAGTGATAAAACTATTTTAATTCACTTGAAGCAAATTGGGAAGATTAAAAAGCTTGAAAGATGGGTACCTCACGAATTGACTGAAACAAACCGGCAAACGCGCTTCGACTGCTGCGTTACATTACTGAACCGGCACAATAATGAAGGTATTTTAAACCGAATCATTACCTGTGATGAAAAATGGATTCTTTACGATAATTGGAAGCGCTCAGCACAATGGTTGGATCCTGACCAGCCAGCCAAATCCTGCCCCAAGCGAAAATTAACCCCAAAAAAGTTACTTGCAAGCGTTTGGTGGACTAGTGCCGGTATTGTTCATTGCAGTTTTCTCAAATCTGGCCAGACTATTACGGCTGATGTCTATTGTCAGCAATTGCAAATCATGATGGAAAAACTAGCGGCTAAACAACCTAGGCTGGTCAATCGCTCCACGCCACTGCTACTTCACGACAACGCTAGACCACACACTGCACAACAGACGGCTACCAAATTAGAAGAGCTTCAATTGGAATGTCTAAGACATCCTCCGTACTCCCCGTACCTTACCCTACAGATTACCATATTTTTCGAAATTTGGACAACTTCTTGCAAGGGAAAAAATTTAATTCTGATGGGGCAGTCCAAATCGCCTTCACAGATTTTATTGATTCCCGTCCGACTGGTTTTTTTAGTAAAGGGAACAATGAACTACCTATTAGATGGCAAAAGTGCATAGAAAACTATGGTTCATACTTTGATTAATTAAATATATTATATTTAAAAATATTCGACTTTTTGTTCCTCCCATACAAAACGCCAATTTCATATGTAAGGACCTAATATTATCTTTTTTTAACTGTTTTAAACATGTACCACGTAATAATTGTTTTCTAGTTACCCACAACACAGGGCTTCCTTAGTGTGGGGACTAGCGATATATGAATTCTGTCACAACCCTTTTGTCATAAATAAAGTTTTTATTATTAAATTATTATATACGCATTTGTGTCGATACAATGCAAACTAGAACTTTTATGATTAATTTTGAGAATTCATTGTTTTTTCTTGAGGCTTTAGGTGATTAACGCAGTTAACCACGTTCTTCAGGCAATTCGAACATGGCATACTATATCTATACAAGCGTTGCGTCTGCGTTGATACAAGGTCCCCTATTCCGTAACTCTGACAGCGTGATGTGACGGACGTCCGACACGGTTAAAGTATCGCAATATCAGGAGTCAGGCTACGGTGACAGACTAGAGCTGTACGTTTCCGTCCACAGAATGAAATAAATATATGTTCTTGTTAAATTGTGTTTACACTGTGTGGAAAAGAGACAAATAAGTACTTTAGTCAAACGGTGACAGTGGACTAATTTAGTATTTTTAATAATAATATTTAACATTAAAAAATATTATTTATAAAAAAACAAGTCTCGCAACTCAGTTCTTCCATGAGAGTTAGTGAGTCGGTCAAGTCAGTTCCTACTTAAGGGTCCTCCTGTGAAGTTATTACGTAATTAGATAACCTAACAACATCTTATTATGACCATATCAATATTACAATGTTTTTAATACATACAATTTTTTTTTTTTTTTTATAGAACGGGGGCAAACGGGCAGGAGGCTCACCTGATGTTAAGTGATACCGCCGCCCATGGACACTCTCAATGCCAGAGGGCTCGCGAGTGCGTTGCCGGCCTTTTAAGAATTGGTACGCTCTTTTCTTGAAGGACCCTAAGTCGAATTGGTTCGGAAATACTTCAGTGGGCAGCTGATTCCACAAAGTGGTGGTGCGCGGCAAAAACTGCCTTGAAAAACGCTCAGTTGTGGTACGGCGGACGTCGAGGTGATACGGGTTGAATTTCGTATTCTGTCTCGACGTCCGATGATGAAACTCAGCTGCAGGTATTAATCCGAACAACTCCTCTGAACACTCTCCATGGTAAATGCGGTAGAAGATGCAGAGTGACCCCACATCTCTACGCAACGCAAAAGGATCAAGCTGCTCGGAGAGGGATTGGTCGTCTACGATTCGAACCGCTCTGCGTTGTATACGGTCAAGTGGAAGGAGCTGGTACTGGGGAGCCTCTGGGCGGGCAGAGGTGAGAGCAGTACTCCATGTGGGGCCGAATTTGCGCTTTATATAGTTGCATGCGGTGGCCCGGAGTGAGCTTTTTGGAGGCTTATTTAGCCTTTCCCTCCAAGTGACCGCGAAACTGAACGTCGTTCGATATGTCAACGCCAAGTATTCCAATGCTGGCTGTGGCTTTAAGAAGAGTGTTTTCGAAAAGAGGAGTAGCGACAAAGGGTGTTTTTTTAGCGGAAAACGCGCAAACTTGTGTCTTCTTGGGGTTAAATTGGACTAGGTTTTGTCTGCCCCAGTCTGAGACTCCACGTAGTAGAGTTTCGACTTCAGACACAAGTTTGTTCCGGTACTCATCAACAACTGCCCGAGAAATACCTGCCCGGCCAGTGTAAAAAGTATCCCCAGTGCTGTCATCCGCATAGCAATGAATGTTGCTAAGTTGCAACATATCATTGATATGCAAAAGAAATAGGGTCGGGGATAGAACACAGCCAAGTTCGCTGGTATTGGCATCACGAGATTTCGCCGCTTCCGCCCATGCGTTAAAGCATTCTTGCTTTCGACGCGAGGCCGCCTTGCAAGAACGTTTAAACCAGGGCTGAGACTTGCCACCGATCGGCACCGCAGAAAATGGAATAAAGAGTTCCATGCCCTGCAAAACCACTTCGGCGACAGAGGCGGCGACGGAATCTGGAGCTTCCGGCGAAAAGCACATAGGCCCCCAAGGGTAGGACGCAAAGAAAGACCGCATCCCGTCCCAATCTGCTGACTTATAGTGCCAAATACGGCGACAACCCATAAAGCGGGGCCGTGAAGGGCGCGTAGATGGCACAGTACTCCGGACCACACAATGATCCGATGAACCCAATGGACCCGCCAACAGAGACTTGATAGTTCTCCGGATGTGAAGTCAGCAGAAGGTCCAACAAAGAGGGTTTATGACCATCGACATCTGGTATTCGCGTAATCGCAGGGACCATTTGTGTCAGGTCGTAGGCTAAAGCAAAGTCGTGAAAGGATCTTCCCGCGTGATCGGTGGTTTCAGAGCCGAGCCAATCGGCATGGTGGGCGTTAAAATCGCCAAGTATCACGATTTCAGCGGTAGGAACCCTTTCGAGCAGGGAATCTGTAGCCATTTGGATGTGCTCAATGAGTCGGTCAGTTTCGGTATTTCCGCTATGGGACCTTTACAGGCATGCGTAGAATCGCGGATGGTCATCGCAGTCTACGCGCAGCCAGAGGTTAGATAGGTCCCTTCCTTCAAGCGTCCCGAGGCGACGAGAACAGATATCCTCTCTGACGTACACGCAAACTCCCACCCGCGGCACAAATGAATGTTCCAATTTGTACCCCGGGTAGGAGAGGTAGGAAGTATCAGCCGGGGAGGAAATCTGAGTCTCGGTAAGAAAGAGCAAGGCCGGCTTCGCAGTCTCTAAATGGTAGTGGACTGCGTTGATATTGGAATTGAGCCCCCTAACATTTGTGAAGTCCACGGCGAGCGTGGACGGGGGTGCCTTTGTTGAATTGCTCTGTTTGCCCCGAGAACGATAACTGTTTTTGTTGAGCGCAGAATTGCCCCCCCCCAGAATACGAAGGGCAGCCTGTGCGTCCACCACCGGGTGCTGAGTGTCCCGGTGTTGGACGCCCAGAGGGGGATTCTCCACCGCGAGCGCGTGTGGTACCCCCCTGGGGTAGATTCTGTTTTTTCTGCACCTTCATATTTCATATGTGTGGGCCCGGAGTACTCCCTCACCGCACGGAACGCGAGTACAATAAGGCGAACCTATTGCATCACTTCACGCCGGTTTTTAAGAGACAGTGGTACTGCCCCGGTTGTGCCTGCCCATTTGGTTGAAGCCCGAAGGCAACAGCATGGCACTCCCACTAGGAGAACTGTGACTTGGCCATCGCATGGAAACACAATGTCATAATCTCATAAGTGCGATTGCCATGAATCTACTTTTTATAGATTAGGTATTTTAATTTTGAAACCTAATACAATTTGCGTACCTATTTATACATTTTATTCTATTATTATATTATTCACTGGTACACTGATTTATTCACTGTATAAATAGCTTTGTAATCACATATAAATATATAGAATTAGTGTATAGAAATTTGGACTGAACGTGCAAAATACTTTAGTTTTTTCTTAATTATATTCACTAAAGACTAATTGTATTTTTTGAGTCATACTCACAATCAGGTATTAACTGCCTTAGTCATAATTAGATGGAAATTCCAAATTTAAGCGATAAAGAGGAAATAAAATAAGATAAATATTGATACAATAAAGGTATTATATAAATGTCTCTAAAAATGCAAGTCATAAAAACACAGTAATTTAAATTCATTGCTTACCTGAAAAAAAAAATTTCATCGTGTTTTGGCATGTATTTTCAAAATATATTTTTTGTTTACCACATACGACGTACGTAGAAGTATTGTGATTTTTCTCGAATTATTTAACCCAAAATAGTAGCTTGTTACCAAGGCCCAGGCACTAACTATTTAAACTTAATAAAACAATATCTAATAAGCGCGTGTTATGAATGATATCATCTAAGTACATATTACTTACGATAATCTCATATAAATAATTTTCATCGCATTTATGAACTTAGTTGTACTAATTGAAACTTAACCAAACACAAAACATTAGCACAAAACAAAAGAATCGATATGTCGGTACCATTTAAAAACATAAAAACCTCATTTGTAACTTTATAGTTAAAAAAATAAAAATAAAAAGCAGTGGCTACCAAACTTTTTTTTTATCAGGGCCTCAGATTTCTGTATTTATTTTATGATCATTTGTTAATCTAATAGGCAAGTTGGTGATCATCACGCCGTCCACTTTTTGGGTCTAAGACATGTCGATTTCCTCACGATTAACTTCACCGTTCGAGCGAATGTTAAATGCGCACATAGAAAGAAAGACCATTGGTTCACAGCCGGGGATCGAACCTACCACCTCAGGGTTGAGAGTCGCACGCTGAAGCCACTAGGCCAACACGGTATATGTTAACCTCACAGTAGTTAGGCTTAAGACAAAATGCTAAACGGCCAACTAAATCAGCCACATCAGCGCTTAATATTGAAGATTGTTATTGTTGTAAAAAAGGAAAAATCAAAAAAATTTCTCAAAATTTAAACTATTCACAGGTATTAATTAAAATATTCCTAAATTTAGTACTGCAATTACGTTGAGGTTAGAAAATATAGTGTTATGTTAATGCCAAACTTCCTGGCGAAAACTTGTGATTTATTTTTTTATGCTTACTGGCACAATATAATTTTTTCGGCCCAAAACGCCCAATGCTAAACGGCCAACTAAATGTGCACATAGCCAATTGGAAGTTTGTATGCGGACAGAATTCGAATGACGTGAAGAAGAATATTAGGTGCTCAGAACATAAAATGGATTTATTTTTTTATAAAAATGTGACATTTGTTTGTTGCAGTAAATTTAAATTTAGAAGCATTTAATTGACGTATGTTACCTAAATGAATGATATTTCAATTTTTTTGCCTACCTCCATTTTTATTATAAATATTACCCTTTTTATTTAAATGTTTTGCGTATTTGCAATTATTTTACGGGAAGTTGCGGTTTTAGCTAGTTTATATGACCAGTTAGCCCACATATAAAACTAATTGAAATGTAAATGAATTTACAATACTTTTGGAATACCTATTTGTTAATTGCTTTTAAAATAAATATAAGAACGTGGCAATTATACGAAGTAATATAATTCTTACTTACGTCATGCATTACAATTTTTTTTCTTATTAAGATGATGAACTATAGTGAGGTAATGTATTGACGACATAAATAGGTAATTCACCACTTTAGCGACCAATAGTTATTATCAAATCTATTTTTTCTTTGCGCACGGTTCTATGTTGCTCTTTTAAAAATTTATCAAGACTAGGATAATCTACGTTGCCTGAAAGAGTTCTTAACTGTGTAAAATTTAAAGTGTATGTAACTTTTGTAAAAATGAATGTTTCAAGGAATAAATGAGGCTTACTTATTATTATTATATGATTATTCACAAGGTCAAACAGGGTCAAAAATGTAGTGGATTTTGTCATAGCCCGCGGTTAGCCTCCCCTTTTACGATAAATGTTTTTAGATAATTTAAAGATGCTACTAAAATTTAAATTAATAATAAAATGTATTGGGACTTCATAGGACCCTATCCAACCCTGTCTCGTCCTATACCACTTCATATTAATTGATTAATGATATGTTTCATACACTAACTAATCTAATATATAAAATTCTAGTGTTTCTCGACCGATTTTTATGAAATTGTGGTGAATCACCCCTAATTTTAATTTTATAATTTTTAGACAACATTTTATGACACAACTTATGACTTGAACTCCGAGGTTTATATAGAGAAAAATTCACAGAACAATCTAAAAAGTTTTCATTGCGGATAACCGAACACACACAAAAAAGAAGAAACGAAGTTCGCTGTGGCAGCTTGTATCGAATAAATTAACTTTGTAAAATAAATTACTTACTTAGCGATTTTATGTCACCATTTCTGTTGTTATAGATGTAAGGGCTTTGACTGTTTCTTTCGCCTGAAAAGATAATATTGATATGAATACAAACCTCCCCTTTAAAAGACATTTCACAATTTAATTACTGTTTCGTGTTTCGAAATAACAACTGAAACGATATTTTTAAATATCCCATAGCCCACTGAAGTATTATTTAAATTTTGCGCGAATTGAATTAAGCAATACATTACAGAACGCGAACAAAATATACTTACTGCATTTGTTACCATGGAAACAATATCGTTGCTATGGTAACAATAACAATCACGGTAATCTTTAGTCTACTTTTATAAAGGTTAAAAGGCGCTAAACAAGTTTTTAATAATTACCAGCTAAGGGATATTGGAAAATATTTTAAAAACTAATTCTACTAATAATTTTAGGAACCCGCCAAAAGAGAAGCGAGAGAAGCGCTCTGGACAAGATGGCGTCGCAACAGTCCCTATGACGTACCATGGCTGTAAACTCCTAAGCAAATGTCAAGTATTTAATTGTTATTTATTATTCTTTTCGTACACTATATCCATATATATTATATTTCGATCAAAAACAGACAGGCGAAGGTATATTTTTTACAAGCATGGTACGGCAACATCGAATCTATTAATCTGTGACACATGACAAAAAAAGTGCGCGTGCGTACAAAGTACACATGTCAGATGTGAAACTTCTTTGGCAAAACAATTTTTAAGTCTTGTTCATATTTAAACAAATCTAAAAATTTCCGAGACTTGGACGGAAAAGGAAGATATGTAAGGAATTTAATTGTCATTAAAATATTAAAAGTGTCGAAAATTAATACATTTAATTTTTTTAAATTATACTTTTTAGGGCTTATGAAAATTTGATGAGAGTGAAATTTAGATGCGCGCGCACCTATGACACAAAATTCGAGTGTATTATAGCGTGCGCAATCTACAAAAGAAATAGAATATAAGCTAACTTCACGCATATTCTATTTCTTAGCTTAGCACTTAACAAGAATTTTGAATATCCATACAATTACAGACAATGACATTTACCTTTTAAACAAATATAGGAGTTTGAATATTGTTTAAAATAAAAGATTCTAAAAGTACTAGTTATTTTCATTATACAGTGCGAATTTTATATGTGTCTGAATATAATCAAAATTGAATATCTAAATCAATACTAATTAATATGATAAAATATTTGTGAAAAACTGTGCCAACCTTCCTGAGTGCTTCAATACAATTGAGGTTAACTATCCGTATTATATGAGTTTTATTGTTGATTAAAACTGAAAATGAACTTAATTAACTTTTGTTTATTGGTTTGTTAAGAACTTTTTAGAAATATTCTACGACCCTATATATCAATAATTGAGAACAAAGATTTAAGCACGAATACTAATAAGGAGAAAATGAAGTTGAGCGATATTAAGAAAGTAAACATTTTAATAAGTACTGCATCTCAAAAAAGATTACATATTTAATCAAAACAAATTTTTCAGATTTAATCTAGCAAATATAAGGACAAGAGACAAAAAACAATTTCAGTGGAAGTGATAAATTGAATAAAAAAAGAGTTGTCATCTTATCGCCGTGAAACATCAAAAACAAGAGGTGGAACAAAGCCACCATCACCTTCTCCAACACAATGGATATGGAGAGATGATAGCAACGGTTTGAAGTAGATTTCAATGAATTTGATTTATTATAGGAATGTAATATAAATATGAGGTGATTTAAGGTCAACCTCTCAAGCATAGGAAACTTTATTCCCTAAGGGTAGTTAGAGATATTGTAATACCTCAAAACATCCATTTGACTTGTAGTACCGAAACTTTCACAGAAGTAGCCATTCCCACTTATAATGAAGTGGGTATAATACACCTTAATACCTAGTGGAACCACTCACCATGACACTTAAATTAATAGATGTTATTTATATATTTCAGGATATTACAAATAAAATCATTTTGAAACAATTGTATCCCAAAAGAAATAAAGCCAACAATACAAGGTAATAAATAGTTTTGACATAACTAGAATACTAAAAACCAAACAAAGGTGTGAAAAGTACAACATAACTTAACAATTTCATTATTTTTAGATTAAAGAAAGTTAAAGAAAATATGTAACTATCAAAAGAATCCCCAAACAACTCAAAAGAAACCTACAAGGAAGACACGGTATTATATTTAAATTATCTCTATCTCTAAATAGAATAAAAAAAGTTTATATTTAGATGTGTACAAATTATATTATTAACACATTTATATAATTATATTAATATAAATGTGTAAAAATTTTATAATATGAATATAAAATTTTTTTATTTTGTAAGAGAATAATTATAAATATTTATTTATTAAATTTTTAAATTAAACTGAACTTTATTGACTATAATATTTTTCCATCTTTGATTATTTAATTATAATTAATTATTTGCATGCAATCAAAATCTATTTTAATAAGAAGAATATAATCTTAGGTTTAACCTTTTTTTTAAATTATTTCTTCAATAATAAAAGCACGTGGCGTTTTAATTTACAATTCGTCATTTGAAATTTCAATAAATGATTTTGCATAAAATACTTATATTTTGATAAATTCTCTTGACGAAATTTTAATTTTAAAAATAGAAGTTCTATAAAGTAATTCGCCCTTCTCACTCTCTCTGAATCGATCTTAATCGCTCTCTCCCTTTTCTTCAACAAAAACGCTGCACATCTTCGTGACGTATCCGTAAAAGTTTTACCTTCATGCGCCTAAAGAAGTTTGACTTCAAAAACCGTCAAATATGGTATGAAAAAAAATTTTTTTTTTTAATTCCTGATTATTTACAAGTAATTTTACTCGATAACGCTTAAAGCCATGTTTGCCACTTACTAGCAGGTGTCGCAGGTGGTATGGAATAATCATCTCTGATGACCACACTTAGCTTATTCAATTTGTCCGGGCTCTGAAATTAATATAATATTGTTAAAAGTGGTTTAGCCTTTAATTACATTGGCTTAACTGAGAAATGAACCGAATGCATGACTAAGGTCTCCTCCATATCATGCACGTTTAACTAACGAATGAAGATGTATTCGCACTGAACATTATCTACTTAACATTTACAAGAATAAAACAAGCATTACAGAATGTAAACGCGTTTGTTATACCATATCCAAACAATATCGTTACCACGTAGGGTTACAATGACGACAATATTTTGTCTACTTTAATAACGCCAAAAATTATCAGCAATGGGATCTTTGAAAATATTTTAATAACCATTTGAATGAATATAGAATCTGTTTGAAATACATGTTTTGTGATTTAAGACTAAAAGACATCTTTTACACACACTAAAATGAACGATAAAGACAGGCCCTTTCCTTACAAATAAGTGCACATTATTCTCATTTAAAATTACAATAATTGAGAATAAAACATCTAGGGTGCTGGTGCATTTTTCATTTTGTCAAGGTTTCTAAAGCTCAGCCTTAAAGGCTTGTTTTTTTTATATTTTAAAGAGGATGTGTTACCTTAACAACGCAGCGCTACCACGGTGGTAGACGTGGTCTTTAATATTCCTTATATAATTATCGCTATTAAAAAAGTCTGCGACACAAGCATATCATATAGATTTTGCTCGCCAGCACTCTAGCTAAAAGTGATTCAACCTAAGTTAAAAATCAGCTGCTAAAACTGAGTTAAAATAACTCTAAAAATAGCTTCTATAGAACAGTTAGCGTCTGTGGAATGGAATAGCGATAGACTTTAATTTTACGCGATAAAAAAAGTGTTGCGTGCACATCGGGAGCCGAACAAAATCGGATTAATAACTTCATTAGTCGCTTGTTTCTCTCGATCGACACCACCCGTTTTTCACTATAATCCTGTTACTGGCCACCGTTCTCGCAAAACAAATTTTTGACCAGTAGCTTTGTACAGCTTTACATCCGAGCCGATTTATTTTTTGCTTTTAGCAAAGTTGCATTTACGTTATAAATTGTTTTCAAAGCTACTCATTTGAGAATAGGTATACAATACTCTAGAGCGCGGGATATAATGTGGACACTAGAAACAACAAAATGGATTGGATCTACTGGAAAGAGATGTATAGGAAGACAAAAGAAAAGATAGACAAATGACGTAATAGAACTTGCGGGAACTGCATGAATTGCTCAAGACAACGAAAAACTGAACATGATGGCTTTTACTCTTAAAGGAGCCATACAAATATTAATACTAGAATACTAACAGAACTGACTTTAATTAAAAGAACTAACACTTATATTAAAAAGTGTAAACTGGACAATGATTGTATGGATTAATTAATCAATCTTTAATAATAAAACAATGCGTGCGTAGGCAAAGTAATAATAAATATGTCGTTCGGTGATACAATTCCAATAAAAACCCTTATTATTTATTGGCTTCAGGTCTCTGTATCTGTTTAGTGATACTTTTAGTTCTAATTGATAAGTAGATATTCCTCTGTACCTGACACATGTTAATCGGGATTTGAACCTTCAAGTTCAGGGACGAGAGCAAGTGTCCTAAAAATTAATGCTTACGATTTGCCCTTGCACTTCTCACAACGTACTTGAACATAGAATACGGCGACGGCTAAAGTATGGGTTTCTTATTAACTTATCATTACAATAAACAACTGCTTTATCATGATGAGGAGCATTTAATGGTTGCAGGTACAAACATTTTGTAAAAAAAGCTTGGCGATTTAAAAGAGCGACGGAGAGTTTTATTGCCAGTTCTGCTCGTTCGTTTCCCCTTGATCTGAGACTGGCAGTAAATATGTATTTAGAAGCATTTTACTGACGTTCATAAGTGTACATTGGTGCTTTATAAATTATAAATTATTTGAATTTTGTCTTAGTAGATAATCAATACTCTATTTACGCAACAAAAACAATATTCGTAAATTGATATCTTTCAGATAGTTCTTTAGTATGAAATCATGACGTAATAACAAAATTGGAATAGGTCTACGATATCTTTATTGTCACTTAAGACATATAATAACATCGTAATCATACAATTTTTAAATGGATTTTCTCAGAAAATTGCTCGGTGATTTGAAATAATCGTTCTCAGTAAACACTAATACATATTAAATTCCTTATTTGTTTTATAAGTAGATTATAGTTAACAACAGCCTTGCGATTCTGTAACTCACTTTTCGAACTCACACAGCGGTTTTCATAGCGACGGTCGCGCTCAAACCGCTGTGTGAGTCCGAAAAGTGAGTTACAGAATCGCAAGGCAGTACTTAAATACTTACAGTTTTATAAACCTGTAACCACAAACATTTTGTTAAAACCAAGCAATTCGTATTCCTACGACCGATATATTTATTTGCCATAGATAACAACAATACGCGCCTCTTCCAAATGTAAATGGAGATTGGAGACTCCTTGCAAACAAACTTTGCGGAATTGACAGTTGACTTATAATTAACTTTTTTTTTAATAACAATTTGTTTTTTACACAGAATATCACATCAGTTGCAAAAGAGGCGGACTATGACATGTTTATTGTGCCATGAGAAGAAATAATGCTAATAAAATATAGCATAGATACAAAATTGTAAATTTATAATAGACAAGTTACCATGTACATAAACTATGATATTATTAATACTTTATAGATGCCGTTATAAGAATGTTGAAATATTAATATATTTTTTTTATTATGAAAAATCTAAATTTCTAATTGCAACTAAATTTATTTTTTATCAAAAACAACAATTTATAAAAAACAATTCGCACAAACTAGAACCAATTATTTATAGCCTTTATAATAGTTGCGGACGGAAAATAATGTCTGTACTTAAATAGCCATAGATAAGAATTACAAATGAGACGAAAAATGACAAAATATAGCAAATGAACTTATAGATTGATGACATAATGCATTTTGCTTTTAGTAAAATTGCCAAAATCGTTCGGCATAAAGAGTACATTCTACCCGTATTTAGTGGAGCGTAAAACCCTAATCTCTGTCACTTCTAACATTCAACATAGTTTGACAGAGTTATTTCGTTAAAGGAGTGCAGTATTTATTAAATGTTATTGCTTGCAGGCAAACGTTTATTCTTGTAGCTGTTCAATTGACGCGCTCCAATGAATGCTATTGAGTTGTGGCCAGTTAGCAGTCGTATGGGAATATAGAAATGAAGAGATTGAATTTTCATCAAGCGAGGCGTTGGGGCGAGACGTGTCCGCACAGAGTGGCACGCGCTTTAATTACAGTAGATATACTGTACTGTTAGTTGGGAAAAAATCAGAAGAATTTAATTTGTTTTTATTGAAATACGTGTTTAATAATATAATTAAGTTCATTTATTTACTTTGTGAGGGGCTGGTGTCTTTATTCATATAGGTAAACAAGTACACTTATGAATGTCAGAAAAGAAGTTAAATTAATTCTTAATCTATATTTATTACCAGTTCTCAAATCAAGGGCGTAGAGCGGGCAAGAAGAACTGGCAAGAAACTTTCCGCTAATCTTTTTAATCGCTAAGTTTAGAGTAATACAAATTGTTTGAACTGGAGCAAATCAACCCCAAGGATTAGAATCATTTAAGTATTCATCAAATTTATAAGAATCTTTATTGGTTTATTTTTATTTACTTTTAACGAGAGCTTTTGAATTTATTAAGTGATAATTATCTAATTTAAATTAATTGTACCTATACGTAAATATTGAGGCTATTTAACTTCTTGACACCACGGGCCTAGTGAGAAGATTGAAAAGGATAAAACCAAGCGTTAGTCTCAAGTGGTCAACAGTAGTAAGTGGAAACAAAATTGTATACAGAAGCAAGTGTTTTCTTAATACAGACTGTAGGTAAGTAGTGTTATTGGACATTTTCGTATGTTAAATATTGTTTTTAGTAAATTAGGTTAGTTTTAAATTATTTATTATTAGTTAGGCTTAATATTAGATGTCTATGGGCTGAGATAATTTGTAAAAATAATCTATCTACAGAGCCAAGCAACTACCACCAATTGTCGCTTTTTTATACTATAAATGTACCAAAATCGTATAAGAACAACAAATTAAGTAGACAATGACAGCATTTTAAATTAATATCGCTTGTATTAAATGTGCTATTTTCTATATTTCATCATACATTTTCGTGGTTAAAATAAACGATGAGTCAATTGACCACCAAAAACATTTACCAAGTTTCTAAGTTGTATTTAACGTACTCTTTTTATTTACTTTTATTCACCTTGATACAGAAACACAATGAGTACAATATATGGCGTTAATAGCAATAATTTGTTACTAAAATAAAGCATATCTTGTAAAAACTTGCGTAGAACTAAACAATGGTTCATTGTTGACTGTCCGACTTTCGAAAGAGCCAGGTGCTACCTGGAACTGGAACTTGAGACTGACATTGCGCTCGAGCACAGATAGCACCTGGTAAAAACTGCTACAGAATTGTCAAATATGTCAGTAATATGTAGCTCAATAGGAGGCACGGGTCCCGCCAGCCAGCGGGCTCCGTCTCACCTATAAATATCATGAGGGTATTTCCAGAATAATCGTCACCCAAGCCTCGTGGGAGACGCCCAACCAGACCTAGTTTTAGTAAAGTCCCTATTTAGGAAAGGGGCCATTAGACACAGATTTCCCAAATCGCGTGGTTGATAGACCAGCCTATATATAAAAAATACTTGGTTAAAATGATCTACTGTATTTTAATCTACTGTTTTTTGTGCTACTGTAATTTGTAGCTTACACTGTAATTTGTTTAAGCGAAAGCACTGGTAACGGGGGTGGGTGGTCAAACGTCGTTATTCTCGTTATGTAATAAACGCAAAAACAATTATTACACTCAAAAAACGTTTGTAATTTCGAAAATATATAGTAAGTTTAATTCGAATAACTTTTTATTAATTGAATTTTATTTGTAATGTATTATTAAATAAATGAATA